GCATTTTTGGTTTTGATCATAGTAGGCTGTTTTCAAAAAATATCGATTTTATATAAATTAGCATTCTTTATCATTTAAAATATCTAAATATGTTTTAAAATGCAATTTAAAGCATTTTTTGTTTTGATCATAGTTGGCTTTTTTCAAAAAAAATATCGATTTTATAAATATTAGCATTGTTTATCATTTATAATATCTAGATATGTTTTAAAATGCAATTTAAAGCATTTTTGGTTTTGATCATAGTAGGCTATTTTCAAAAAATATCGATTTTATAAATATTAGCATTGTTTATCATTTATAATACCTAGATATGTTTTTAAATGCAATTTAAAGAATTTTTGGTTTCGATCATAGTAGGCTAATTTCAAAAAATATCGATTTTATAAATATTAGCATTCTTTATCATATATAATATCTAGATGTGTTTTAAAATGCAATTTAAAGCATTTTTAATTTTGATCATAGTAGGCTATTTTCAAAAAATATCGATTTTATAAATATTAGCATTCTTTATCATATATAATATCTAGATATGTTTTAAAATGCAATTTAAAGCATTTTTGGTTTCGATCATAGTAGGATATTTTCAAAAAAATATCGATTTTATAAATATATTAGCATTCTTTATCATTTATAATATCTAGATATGTTTTAAAATGCAATTTAAAGCATTTTTGGTTTCGATCATAGTAGGCTAATTTCAAAAAATATCGATTTTATAAATATTAGCATTGTTTATCATTTATAATATCTAGATATGTTTTAAAATGCAATTTAAAGCATTTTTGGTTTCGATCATAGTAGGCTAATTTCAAAAAAATATCGATTTTATAAATATTAGCACTGTTTATCATTTATAATATCTAGATATGTTTTAAAATGCAATTTAAAGCATTTTTGGTTTAGATCATAGTAGGCTAATTTAAAAAAATATCGATTTTATAAATATTAGCATTCTTTATCATATATAATATCTAGATATGTTTTAAAATGCAATTTAAAGCATTTTTGGTTTCGATCATAGTAGGCTTTTTTCAAAAAAATATCTATTTTATAAATATTAGCATTCTTTATCATTTATAATACCAAGATATGTTTTAAAATGCAATTTAAAGCATTTTTGGTTTCGATCATAGTAGGCTTTTTTCAAAAAAATATTGATTTTATATATATTAGCATTGTTTATCATTTATAATATCTAGATATGTTTTAAAATGCAATTTAAAGCATTTTTGGTTTCGATCATAGTAGGCTAATTTCAAAAAATGTCGATTTTATAAATATAAGCATTGTGTATCATTTTTAATATCTAGATATGTTTTAAAATGCAATTTAAAGCATTTTTGGTTTCGATCATAGTAGGCTATTTTCAAAAAAATATCGATTTTATATCTATATTAGCATTCTTTATCATTTATTATACCTAGATATGTTTTAAAATGCAATTTAAAGCATTTTTGGTTTCGATCATAGTTGGCTATTTTCAAAAAAATATCGATTTTATATATATTAGCATTCTTTATCTGTTAATATACGATATTAACATATTTATTTATCTATGATATACTTTTATACTTTCTATAAATTTCACTAGATGTCACTTTAGTATATCCAAATTATGCTTTAGATTTGAATTATTTCATGTCGTTAATGAATTTGATAATCATTATGTATTTCATAATTTATTGTAATGTATAACTTTAGAATGACGTTATGCTAAAGTTGAATATACTTTCATTCAAGGGCATAATAATTGCAGTGCCGTGTGCAATTTGGTGTGCACATTCCTTTGTAAGGCCTTGAAGCAATTAGTATAAAAGAAGATAGCATAGCATGAATAAAGAAGTCTATTTTTTATTATCAATAGGTCCAGACCTTCTTGTTTTAAATATTTATCAACTTCACCATTTGCAGTTGTGCAACATTGGTCCTTCGGTTCGTTGAAACATTGATAGAGAGTGTTGTTAAGAATCGGAAATAATTTGTAAGTCTTTGAAAAAACTTAGAAAAAATTGAGTTTTTAATAAGCACTTAGAAATATTTTGCGGTCACACAGATAGTGTTGTGATGAGAAAAAGTTTATTCGGTGAATAAATCTTGAGCAAGTTTGTAAACCATTAAAGTCGTTTCTGGCCAGAACGCATCAGGTGAGTGAAGTGAATTTTTCAAAAGGATTAATTCATTTATTGTACTATAATTAATTCTAACAAGTGTGTGGTTAAATTAATATTATAGTTTTTGAGATCTTGTTGAGATTTGGTGAGAGAAATTTGTGGATTTTTTTCTTGTTTTGTGACATTAATTTAAAAATAATTAATTGTTCGGCATTAAGTGCATTTGCAAATTTAATTTTAATACAAAAGGTATAAAGGAAATTAGAATTTCGCAATATTACAAGTTTCTATCGGTAATTGGGAAATTGTGTGGAATAAAATTAATTATTTTATTCTTGGTTCTATCAAGGGTACAAAAGTTACCAAGGATTAGAACATTTTTTAAAATAAATCTTGTACAAGTTGAAAATCACATATTTGTGTGTCTAATTTTGAGGGTACCTAAGTTGCGAGCAAAATTAGTGAGCAAGGTCAATTAAAGCATTGTCTTTCTCTGGGCTTTACATATTAGTGTAGGTGACACATAATTGTAGAGACGTTTTTTTTATTGTATTTTCTTTTCTCTATACATTTGGAAAAAAAAAAAAAAAATTGCTTTTGTTCTCTCCGTGTGAGAGTTTTTTTTTTGTGTGCATAAGGTGCATTAGAATTATTTCATTTACCCAGTAAGAAATTTTTTTTTAAAAAAATTCCGGTCTCAACAAGAGGTTCGAGCGGGATGGGTGACAAAAATGAAGATAATAAGATTGACGAAGAAACGTACAAAAAGTATGGAGAATTGCGTGATAAACAGCAAGGTTTTCAATTACTGGTTTCGGGTTTGTTTACAAGAGTTCAAAGTTTTTCTAAAAATACTCGTACTGAAGCAGAGGAAGTTCTAGGAAAACTTGTGACTGCTTGGCCAGAAGTCAAATCTTTACATGCTCAACTAAAAGAATTAAATAAAGAGGGTGTTCTTAATAATTTGAGTTATTTTAAAGAAAGTCGTTTTGACATAGTGAAGTCAATGGTTGATGTTTCAAAAAAGCGCATTTTTAAGTTGTTTCCTGATGAGCAGGATTTTCTTAATTTGTCTTCTTCATCTCAAGACTTTGAAGATGATTTAACCACTTTGCTGTTTGCTGTGTTGGGAACCATCGTTGCGATCGTGCTAATCACGTTAATAGGAATCTGTTGTTGGAAGCGCAGGGAAGCGGTAACTGCAGTCAACATCAAGATGGAGCCCGTTGCACCGAATACGGATCATCCACCTATCAGAACACCAAAGCCATCACCTAAACGCAAATAATAGGGTTTATTAAATTCGTGAGGGGGGAGTAATGTTAATATACGATATTAACATATTTATTTATCTATGATATACTTTTATACTTTCTATAAATTTCACTAGATGTCACTTTAGTATATCCAAATTATGCTTTAGATTTGAATTATTTCATGTCGTTAATGAATTTGATAATCATTATGTATTTCATAATTTATTGTAATGTATAACTTTAGAATGACGTTATGCTAAAGTTGAATATACTTTCATTCAAGGGCATAATAATTGCAGTGCCGTGTGCAATTTGGTGTGCACATTCCTTTGTAAGGCCTTGAAGCAATTAGTATAAAAGAAGATAGCATAGCATGAATAAAGAAGTCTATTTTTTATTATCAATAGGTCCAGACCTTCTTGTTTTAAATATTTATCAACTTCACCATTTGCAGTTGTGCAACATTATCATTTATAATATCTAGATCATAGCTATGATCGAAACCAAAAATGCTTTAAATTGCATTTCAAAACATATCTGGATATTATAAATGATAAAGAATGCTAATATATATAAAATCATTATTTTTTGAAAATAGCCTACTATGATCGAAACCAAAAATGGGCTTTGTGATTTGACGCTTCTCTTACTTAAGAACTTAGTTGAACTGAGAAATTTATCCTTAAATTACGCCCCACGCTTTTAGAGTCATTGTGTTCTTGGACTTAATAACAATATTTTGAAAATAATTATGTTACATTTCTAGTTGTCACAAGAAAATTTTTAAAATCCTGATTATGATCTTATTTTATTTTCAACTTTTTGGTTTTTAATCTTTTTGATAAAAGCGTGTTTTTAAAAAGTTTTTTTTTTATATTTAATTCGATAGTTGTACATTTAGAAAAATGTAATCAATAAATCTATGAAACCGAGAGTTGAGAGTTGAATTTTATTCTAGAACTATAGTTTGTATAAGTCATCACTTTCAACGAACAATATTCTTGTGAATCGTCAAAGATAGAGTGTCAAGAAACAAATTCCATCATGTCAATAAGCTAAGGTTGAAAGTTGTACAAGTAAAACCTAGTCAAAAGATTTCATTTTAGGATAAATTAATTTTAAAGAAAGATTTGAAAATTTAAATTTTGAGCTTTTTTAAAAGCTCTTTTTAACGGATAAAAGCGCTATTCAGAGGAATTGGGAACAAATGTTCATCAACATTCAATATAAATTAAATAAAAGGATACCAGCTTTAAAGACATCAAACACATTATTTATGCAATCATGCACATTTATTTGTATTTTATTTAATTAAATTTTAGTAATGTGCACTCCATTATTACAATATAAATTTTGTCACTTAATATTAAACATTTTTCAATTTTTTCAAAATCTTAAATTTAACAAAAGAAGGAATTTACTTTTAACTTTAATGTTCTTTAACTAACATGGTAATTGAATTGTTTCTTCTCTGTGCTGCATACATGATTTATAATTGATGTTTAGTTGAAACTGTACGAGTCTCGAGGCATCACGGTGTAATTTTTGGGGCAATATTTAACTGTATGGGCTAGAATTAAGAGAGTTATTAGCATATTCAGTTTTTAATGATCGAATACCCTTCCCCCTAAATGCAAACAAGAGCTTGAGTTTGAGAATTTTTCAAGCAAACCAGAGATCTTTTGCATGCAATTAAACAAACGACCTTAGACAAGAATAAAAATATACCGGTATCTCCAGTAGCTCCACAGATCTGTTAAAGAAAAAGTAATAATAAGTTTAATTTAATAAACTTTAAAAGATTAAATTTGAATTTTACCGGACAGCTATATCGTCGGAGTTTTGGGCAGCATATACGTCCGATGAAATCCCGTAGAATATGAGTCTTGTAAATCTTTGGAGATTCTCCATTATTCTTGCAAAAAACGCAGTAATAAAATACATACTAGCGTTAAAGAAAATGGTAAAAATCATGAATTAAGAAGTAAGGTTAGAGTTTGTTTTATTGGGATATTTTAATTAATAAACAGTAATGTCTGAAAAGGCTAGCAGACGGCTAGATATGTTATAAAGCATTATTTATTATTCTTATTCAATACATTCTTTTATTGAAAACTGAACTTACATTATTATCCATTGCATTAATACTAGTTGATTGCTTATCGTAATTGTAGTTGTTGGAATCAACATCGAGTGATGGAAAAACAGCATCATAATTAGCAGACAATCGTGGATCTAAAACGACAGGTTTCTTCCAAGGTAATCCGTTACTTTGCACATATTGATTTGGGCTGCTGACATGGCAAAACTGTTGTTGTTGTTGCTGCTGCTGATCGTAGAGATACTTAGCCGGAGTTGAGTTTGCATTAGGGTGAAAACTATAAAGTTCGTTTTTATAGTCATAATGTTGAGTCATTGGATATAGTCGTTGCATCTCATTTTCACGCAGCATCTTTTGTTCTGAATTGTCTACTGTACTTCCATTATATTCAAAGTCTGTCCTTACATTACGCATATCCTCAACAAACATACTTGGATGAATAAAGTAGCCATTAAACAAATCCTGATGCATAAACTTCTTTGGCGTAGCGAATTGAAAGTTATTCAGCAACTTGTATTCAATATAATTAATTTCATCAGAACTCAATGAAACTGAATTTGAATCAGGTGCTGCAAACTTGTAATCAAAGTAATTAATGAACGGTGTTGATAGCAAATAAACTGTTGTATCACGGCATAACTGACAATCATCCTCTTCAAGCTTATTCTGATGTGTGTGCAATTTCTTGTCAGAAGTATTTGCAGAATTATTCTCTAAATCTGCTTCTATGCCTGAATCTTTAGTCGAGCATTCTTGTGAATTACCCAAATAAGTTGTTGAATCGTAAGTTTTGGATGGTTCATATGAGTTATAATCACTGTTAACATAACTCAAGCATTTGTTGATGTCTTCTTGATAACCATTTGATTCCACGGCTTGATAATTCACTTGATACTGTGATCGTTGCTGATATTCATAGTTAGTGCTGTAATTTTGATTGCTTGAGCCCGCGTAATTATTTTCGTAGAACATATTCCTGGAAAAAAATTTTCCTTTTCCTCAAATTTTACCTTTAAAATTTATTTATTTCATCATACCTTATATTAAATGTACATAAATCTTCTTAATTAATGTATATTAGTGCCCGAAAGATATTAAAACGAAGGAATTACACGAAAAAACTTAAAAAATTAGAGATTGAATAAATTTAGACAATATAAAATGGGGACCAAATTCGAACTTCAGATTTTCGAAATTGTAACTTATTTTCAAAAATTTAAAATTGCACTTGCATTCCTATAGAAAGTCGACAGTCGATGCAAATTTAAAAAACTGTTAATTCTAGAATTTCGATAGCTTATGACGCATTTGCATTAGTTCTGTTGAATGTGATTTTTGGAAAAAGTTTTTTATGTTAAAAATTAAATTAATTAAGTTTTAAAGAAGATATAATAGCTTCTATGAGCTGCTTACCTTTTGTAAAACAGCTTTTCAAGTTTGGACGAAAAATAAGGTATGAATTGATGATTTTATCGATAAAATGAGTGAAATTCTTTAAAAGCACATTTTATTTCACTGGATCTTTAGCACTATGGCTTTAAAAATGAAGACAACCAACTACAATGCTTTGAATTGCGAGAAGAATTCCTACTATTTTCCTGCATCCATTGACTCTGAAATCGATAACCAGCTAGCAGGATCTTATTCTTCATCATTTACGTCTGGATTTGTTTCGCCAGGATTGTCTGAAGCATCATGTGATGACTTCGCAAATTTTGAGAATAAACGTGGAAAAGAGAATGACATTAGTTTTTGCTTTAACTCATTCAATCTTGATGAAAAATCGACAGCATTACCAAAGCACTGGGATGTTCCTAAAAACTCCTTCGATTGGGAACAAAGCATCAATGCATTATTTGATCCAAGCTCGAAGCAGTTCATAGATTTTGAGAATTTTGTCCAATCATCACATGGATTTAGTGATTGCTCTTTATTTTCCTACTCGCCTTTGAGTAGCTTAGAATCAATTTCAGATGACCAAAATTGTGAGTAGCTATATATAGCCTATTTTAACCTTAATTTTCATGCATTCATTCATTGTTCGCTTTTATAGACAACGATTTGTACTCCAATGATTTAAGTTGCCGAATGCAGCAAGAATGTATTCGCCGAGAATTTGAAATGAATGGAAAGAATGTCGATGAAGAACCAGTTGAAGAAATAACCTTTTATCCATTAGCAATGTCTACACCTTTCGTTGAACGTAAATCTGACCAATATAAATGTAATAATTATAGCAACTTGAGTGAACCAACGAAGTTTGTGCCTACAAAACAGCACCAAATGAGTGCATTGTCAGTTCCCTTTCAACCTTATAACAAACTTAAAGGAAATTGTGTCGATATGATGCAAATTGACAGTATTTATCCTCCGTCTTACCTAGTTCCATCAATTCAACCTGATAACAATGCAAAAAATAAGATTCATGGACGAAAACGTGGTCATCAAACTCAGCCACAAATAGTTCTTCCCAACCAACTTTCAATGATTAAAACGAATAATCCAAATCACAAATTTGGAACTGCTAATACAAAGAAGATGGATAAGAAGAACATGAGTAAGAAAAAGAAATTAGATGATCATTGCGTCTTCTGCAAGAATAATGGAGCCAATGAAATCATTTACAAAAGTCATACGGTAAAGGATTTAAAAGGACGTGTTTTGTGCCCAAAATTGCGTGCTTATCAGTGCCCGATTTGTGGTGCAGACGGTGATCAGTCACATACAGTAAAATACTGTCCACAGAAGCCAATCGTCACAATGGAAGACCTAAAGACATTAGAAGCATCCAAAAAAACCTCGGGATATGCTTCAAGCCGCTTTTAATTTACTACTTATTTTTCTTAATGTTAAGTTTACTACTTTAAGTCCGAAAACTTGAATATCTTTGGCGTTGATGCCATTTATTTTTTTTACCTACTTAAAAATCTTTAATGATTTTAATCATAACACAAATTAATTTATGCTATTTATGTATAATTTTAATAATCATATAATTCAAAGAAAGTGATTATTTTGTCACTAGATGGATCGATCCTATCAAATAATATACCTCAAATTCAGTTGTTTCATAGATTTTGAAGCAAACTTGAATATGAAACTTATTCATATAGTTGTCATAAGAACAACTATCATCATTAGTTTAATTATGCTTAAATGTTGTGATATTTCGACATGACATTTAAACCTTGAAACTCTTGTGATTAATTTAGTCTATAATAATTCGATTGATATTTTTTGTATTAAGTTCTACTCATTTATAATACTATTAAAATATGATTTAAATAACGCTTTATAACAATAAGAACAACAAATATGGAAAGCCTGTTTCATTTTTCACCTTGTTACAGTTTAACGGAAAAAATATCATATTCGAATGATCGTGGGGTAGTCGGTTCTTATTGGAATGATCTTGGATGGCTGGCTTTCTATGGGTACATAATTGTTTGGAATTTAGAAACTTTTAATTAAACTAGATATTTGACAGATCTTTATACCTTTGTTTGATATTAAACGTTTAGCATGACTGTACTGGATGTAGTGTGATTTATTACAGGAAAAATAATGGTTTAAAAAATTACCTCGTTCTATTAAAGATTGGAGGTAAGTAAGTAGATTCCCACCAAAATCAACCAGTAAATTTAAAATTTCCAAATTTCTAGAATATTCTAGAATTTATTTCCAAAAATTGCGAAAAATGACCTTTAAAGTTTAAACAGTAGACCCCCATTAAACTTCAACACACAGAGAAGAATAAATCATTCTCAAAATCAAGTATTTAACCGTTAACTGTCCTTAATAAAGCATCCGACAAACAAGAATAACAATATTAAGCATAAAGAGTAAGATCCCGTGAGCTGTTAACACACGAATGGGGAAATCAAAAAAGTTCCCATTAAAAAGTGTAGAAGTCGAGGTGGAACTTGTTTTGAAAAAAATAACGGTCAATTTACAAAGCAAAACAAAACAAAAAAGAATTAAATATTCATTTGGGATAGATTTTAAGGATATAAAATTAATTATAGTTATTACAAATGTTGCCTGTTCCAGAAATATTAGAAAAAAATTTAAATCATTCGTTTAAAGTAAGTACCAACGTGTTTTTTTGCAAAAAATGCTGATTGTCAAAAATAACGCAACATAATTTATTTATTTATTTTAGTTCCATAATCGAGATGATTACAGAAAGATTAAACGACCACCAAAGCTGTATCCCAAGGAATTTAGTCTTTTGTTATTAAAGAATGGTCACCGTGAAGCGCATGGAATTTCATTTAAGGAATCGTCATCAAATTCCTCAACACCTCAGTCCAAAAATTCTACTGCTGTGGACCTGTCAAACAGCTTTTATGATAAGAACAAGAATGAATCTTATTTTGAGCAGTGTTTCGATCAAATCAAGAGAATAGGCGAAGGAAGTTTTGCTGAGGTATTTAAAGTACGTAGCAAAGAGGATGGAAAGTTTTATGCAATCAAAAAGATGAGATTCATACATCGAGGTGAGAACTATCGTCGTGAAAGGCTGGAGGAAGTTAGAAGATATGAAGAATTTTCAGACAATGAGAACTGTATGACATTATATAAAGCTTGGGAACAAGACGATTTACTGTACATGCAGGTGGAATTATGTCAAGGAAGTGTTCAAGATTATGTCGAGAAAGTCAAGAAAGTTCCAGAGTCATTCATTTGGTCATTCCTTCTAGATTTGTTACTGGTACGTATCATCACTGTTAATCCATATCCAATATCATTCAGTACCTGACTGGATCTTATTCCAATTTCAGGCACTAAAAAGTCTCCATGACAGGAATTTAATTCATCTCGATATCAAACTGGATAATGTTTTATTAACGAAGGACTGTCGATGCAAGCTAGCTGACTTCGGATTAGTCTTTGATATCAAAAACTCCAATCGCAGTCGTGCAATTGAAGGAGATTCACGATATATTGCACCAGAACTGTTGGAAGGCAACTATAGTTTTGCTAATGATATCTTTAGTTTAGGCATCACTTTATTGGAACTTGCATCGAATGTTGAGCTGCCTGCAAACGGAAAATTATGGCAGAGTTTACGTACTGGAATAATTCCACAAGAAATTTTCAATGAGATGAAATCTTTATCGCCAGAACTTCTTTCAATTATTAAATCAATGCTTGAACCTGATCCACAGAAGCGGCCGACTGTGAATACCTTATTAAATATGGCCTATCTAAAACACCTTTATTTGAAGCGAAAAATGACACGAATGGTCAATAAAATTGTAAGTTCACTGGATCACTCGATTATTAAATCATGGTATTAATGTTAATATTTATTCTTTGTCATTTACAGCGAGAAATATTCCTTACTGGATTAGAACTTATCAAAATTTACTTCCTTTTTACTGTATTCTACATATCTGATTTCTTTAGACTTCGAGGGAACATGCCTAATAATACGAATGTTAAAATTAGAAAATCATCTTCATTCAGCAAGAATGATAAAATAGAGATCAATGTTAGGCGTATTGATGAAAATAGTGATGATGATGATGATAGTAGCTTTAAAGCTCTCAACAATAGTCGAGTGATTAAACTTTCTGCTGATGACGACAATAACAATGAAAGTTCAGTAACACCGACATTAAATAACTCAATTCCGCGTATAACGCCGGAACTGAAAATTATCAATTCTACCCCATTGAATCATTTTAATCACCAACATGAAGGACTATCAAGTCGAAAATACAGGCGTGATTTGACAAAATCTTGGTAAGTTTAATTCTCATTTTTGGTTTAGTAAAGCAGTAAGTTAATGATGTATGTGATTCTAAATGCTAATTTTTTCCTTTAAATCAGTAGCTTTGGAGTCGATGACGGTTTCTGCTCACCAGTTATTCCTAGAAATTGTTCAATTAGAAATATATCGCAGGATCGAGATTCGTTCATCTGCAGCAAGAAGCTTTTATTTAGTGATGAGGATATGGATGATATTTGAATAGAATTAAGACATAAACTGTTTAAAGTTATACGAACATAACGTTTTATCGGAGGACATTTTTACTTTGGAATAAAATCTATGAATGGTATGAAATGAAGTTTTTAAAGGAAGTCAAAAAATATTGAGTGGGCATTTTATGCCCATTTTAAACACGTGATTTAAAAACAATTTGTTCGGGTTCTCTTTGAATTTTACATAACGGTTTAAAGTTTATAACGATTTAATTATGTGAATTTTGAACATTTTATAGGATTTTTGGGGGAATTTGTAAATCAGTTTGTTTTGGAATTAATTTAATTGAATCTCAAAGAATTTGACACTAAAATAACTGAAATAAGTTTAAAATGTTGGCACCAATCTAATTAGAATCTTGAATAATTGTGTTTGAATTGACAAAGAGCGTATGAATAGGGTTACCATCTAATTTTCATGAAAATACAGGACATTTGGTAAATTTTTTCGAAAAAAACAGGACATAGAGTAAAATTCGAAATTTAACGGAAATTTTCATGAAAAAAATACAGGACCAAGAACAAAATTTAAAATTTTTTACAGGACAGTCTTGAAAAATACAGGACTGTCCGTTGAAAAACTACGCAGATGATCACCCTACGTATGAATGAAAGTGGTCTGTATACTTAATGTCATTCTATGCATCTTAGGGGTGTGTATTACTTTTAAGATGGTCTGTAGGAAATAAAAGTAACATTTTACAACCCTTTGCTGCAAGGTTTTTATCAGAGATCGAAGCCGATTTTTTCGGCTTAACTCAATTTTTGATTTTTTTGATAGAAAAAAGCCATTTGACACCCATTTCAAGTATTTAAATTGAACTTTACATGCTTTACTATGATTCTGTGTAATATTTTGTCAGCATGTAGCTATAGTAAGCTCAGAATTTCAATTTAGTCAGATCGGCTTAAATTTCGGCTTAAAATCGGCTAAATTGAAATTCTGAGCTCACTATAGCTACATGCTGACAAAATATTACACAGAATCATAGTAAAGCATGTAAAGTTCAATTTAAATACTTGAAATGGGTGTCAAATGGCTTTTTTCTATCAAAAAAATCAAAAATTGAGTTAAGCCGAAAAAATCGGCTTCGATCTCTGGTTTTTATATTCATCCATTCAAAAGTAACAATTATCTCGTTTTCTACGCATCAATGTGATAAGCTATTAGTCGCCTTTTATAAAATATTAACATGAGATGTAATTTACTAAACTATAAGAAAAAAAAAAAAATCTAAATAAGATGTAAAGTATCCACGTAAAGTTTATGATATGATTTATATGAATATATGTACAAAATAACAGACAATAAATGAAGTAAGAAAAGTTGAAATCTTTATATCCATTTTTATTTTGCATTCCTTTTGAGATTATTTCAGCAGGCACCTCAAAAAATGATGATGCCTAATAATGTACGAAAGAGCCTTTTCTGTGTGTTCTACGGAAACAGAAGTGAAATGCGTGAGAACAGTAAAGTTTTAGGAATTTTTCATATTCTACTTCTTACTTCTTTATTGGCTTTCAACGTAAAAATTGTTTCTCTTAATATTGATTGCTCCGAGACATCCTCCCGTAAAGTAATTGAAGGTTCAATATTGAAATCATAAGTTTGCAAAGAGAATACTGTAAAAATCATGAAAACGGATTCTCGGTATTGATAGCGATTATTTTGCAACTGGAATTTACGAAAGTTTTTTTTAAAAGTTGCCTTTTAGCATCACTCAAGCTTATGTATGATTCATACCAATATAATAAGAAAATACTGTATCGGTTTCATGACAACAATACAAAAGCCGATTAAAACAATGGTAAAAACAGTATGAAAAGGAAGTGATAAAACGAATTTAAATCTTTTTAATTATTAATAAATTGAATTGGTTCACACGACGAAAAAACTGCTGTTCTTAATGTTTCGAGAACCTCACGTGCATGCCAAAATTTGTGTCTTTTAGTCTTAAACTTTCTTTTATTTTAGAGATTCTAGGTATTCTTTGTAGATATGGCTCGAAGAGCATCTGTAGTAGATAGGCCTGAGCATAGGGCTCGCAGTGAAACTGGCTGTATATGTATGACGGATAGCTTCCTATCGAATCTGACTTGTTTTACATTAGTATACACACATGACAGTTATTGGGAGATCTTCATTTTTTAAGTTCTTGTAGCTGTTATTATGACTAGTGAAAATACTTGGACCGCGGATCAAAAATCCGTTATACTATTTTTTTATAAACATGATCTGAGCAACAACCAGCAACAACCAATAAAGCTGATTTTTCAACTATTAAAAAGTGTTGTCGACAAATAAGATAAGGATCCGCGCTAAACTTCAGACAATACAACAACTAGTGTCCTTTGGAAGTAAAGATAAAGTTTCAATGCTTGGTAATTACTTATTATAGTCAAATGCTTAAGTCTTTCAAGATCTAATAGTCCACAACTGTCATAAGCCTTTATTAGTATTGCCTAATTAGAGTCATCAAATCAAAAAGACTAGCAAAGTATTCGGCTCAGACTTAGATAAAAATAATAGAAATCTGGATGGTAAAGGGGGGTCGGGGGTTGGAAGTAGTGTATCAATCTTAATATTCGTATACAAAAAATCAGTAAATATCTAATAAATGAGCATGTAAAATCGCTACTTTATGCTTCTTAAGATAACAAATCATACATATCGTGACATCGGTAGCAACACCCATTTAAAAATAGAGTGAAATAAAGTTATGAACAAATAAGAAAAGAATTTAGCCACCGAAAAGAAGTTCATGACCTAATGAAGTAATATTCTCACGACTTAGAATATATGAAGCATAAAAAGAAGCATATGAACAGCAATCGGTACAAATGAGGAAAGCATGTAAATGGTAAGGAAATTCTCTTTTTTTTTGTACAGCTCAAATGTAGGTAAATCAAGTTTTAAGCACAAAAACTGTGATCGTCTTGAAGAAAACAAACTGCCAATGTCATGTATCATACTTGCTTATAAGCACAGAAAAATGGAGAAATGCTGCGAAAACAAATAGCGTTAAATGAAGTTTGAGCACATGGAAATAAAGTTCTTTACCTTAAAAAAAAAGAGTAACAATGGAAGAAAGAAATCTCACTTTGATGGGTAACAAACAATCTGAAATCTTAACATGAACTTTATGCTTTTTTTTGTGCTGCATAGTGTAACATTCGCAACATTATTCTCTCATTATCATACTGTCGTTTTTCTTGATAGCTTGCGATCATCATCATCGTTTCGTACATGACGACATGTTGAAGAGAACATTAAAACCAGCAATATCAGCATGATTTAAAAGAATTGGATGATCCCAGTGTAAAAAAGCAATAACAACAACAACACTTACTACTTGAAAGCGCGAAAATAACACACATAATTTATTAGCACACTTTATATAGGGGCATCGACGATTTTTTTAGGATTATTGATCAACGGAAAAATTAAATTTGAAATTCATTAACACTATCTTATAACCCATAAAAATATAAATTCCCAAATATCTTAATTATTCAATCATTATTCCCAAATATTATGACATGATTACGAAAAGTAAATGATACATTAGCTATTCTGCCTATTTTAAGAGCTTTAACATCATTATTGAGTGATATTTTCATGACTTTTTAAATTTTATTTCAATTTTTGTTTGTAAACAAACAACTTACGACATAAAAAATTCAAAAACTTTAAAACCGTTAAAATTATTTAAACTTAATTTTGTTCATTTAAGAATGTTTCGGGGACAATTTATTACTTTTTTTGAAACCAAACAAAAGAGAATAAAATTTCTGATCTAAAAAAATACATTTGAAGATATATCAATGAAAACTGACAAAGTTATGGCAAAATTCCCAAAAATTATTCGTGGGTGACACTTAATTAAAGTGATATTCTGAAGCACCTGCTTAATTTTTTTAAGTAAGTTGTATATCAAAAGATGGGAATTGTAAGATAAAATTGTAGGATAAAATAACTTTGAAATTTGTCACTTTTGTGGTTTCGGAGATATTTAAGATTTAAAGCGTCACTCACGAATAATTTTTTGTCGTCGGGGCTCATAGTATTTCACAAATTCTAAAGTGAAGGAGAAAGAAATGCATTTAAATATAAGAATGGCACATGAGCATCGTAAATCTAAATACGATTTAGCATCGTTTAACATTGGATTGGTCATGTGAACATGCAGTTTGGAGTATAAGTAATGAATCAAAATCTACTTTTTACAAGTCAAAAAAATATTAGGAACAAAAAATTCAAATTGACATTAAATCTCATTTTTAAAAGATTTATAAACTTTACTAAGATATTACATTTTGCCAAATTAATTGTAAATTTATAATGGTGTTCAAAAATTACTCAAGTTTTTATTTAAAGAGAGCAAACTCTTGGGTTCAAATCCCATCGATTAAAAAAAATAATTAATTTGTTTTGACAGGTACAAAGATCAAAAACATTTTTTTAAATTTTTTAAATCCTTTAAAATTGCCAAATTGATTTGAATATTCGTATTTTTTAGCTAAGCTAGCAATCAATATTAATCTGAAGATCTTAAAAATTTAAAAACCTTTCGATGAATAAGTTTCATTTTGAGTGCTGAATTAGCTTCGAATCCTTATTAAAGAATCAAAAGATGAAGCCTTAACTCTCAATCATTGATATAAGTTACACAGTTTAGGATGTGGTACAATAGTTTCTTTACAAATTGAATCGCAGTGTCTCCAGCTGCTGAAGACTGGGTCCTACACACATTATTATTATACTGTTAAGGAACCAAATACTGCAGTAGTAAGACTTTCGAAAGGAAGTCTAAAGAAAACCTGGATTAGATGTGTTGATAAGGTGATCAAACTGGGCGAAGGTTTTAATGGATAGAGATGTTTAAAACAACTCAAAGCGAGGCAAGGGGCCCACATGAGCCTCACTCAAGGAAATAAGTAAATAAGACCTTCAAAAGGTAGAGAATTTTGTGAATAGAGTGTTTTAAGTTCTCTGAGTCAAATTAAAATGTATTTTACTTTGTTATGTTTTAATTAAATTAGACTTTCAGAATTAGTAAGGATGTTTTTGATATAACCGAATATCAAACAATCCTTACGCTTTCCATGACAAAATCGTTTTACAATAAAATGCGCTTCCAGCACCCAATCCATAAATTCTCAACAATTCTGTTCTTAATCTGATGATTTAAAGAATGAAATGAATAGTGACGCAATGTAATTTAAGAAACATACGGCCCCCTTGTGAGAACCCACATAAATTTTCATAATAATTGATGCACTTTTAAAAATGAGCTTGTGTCTACCTAAATGACTCGCAACGTAATTTTCGCACGTGAGCATTAACATTATGTATCTTTCTTTTTTTTTGTTGTCTTTCCTCTTGCATTTTTTCCATTCCATCGTAAATAAAAAATTACGAGCAAACGGCAGAATGATAGATATCGCAAAGCAATGAAGAAGTAGAGAGGAGTGAGGAGAGAGAATGCCTTATATTGTTGTTATTTCTTATTTTTTGTGTCAGTAAATTTAAAGAATTTTTTATAAGCGCGTACTTATTTGTGTTATCTGATCTGTTTTCCCTTAAACTTTGTACCTTTATTTCCTCTCCTCCGTCTTCTACTCCTCTTTATGCTTAATTCAAATTCGAGGGGCACAGGAAAAATTGTACGTGGTCTATGTGAATATCGTAAAAAATTAATTCCATTAAAATGTACATTTTCATTG